ATTTACCCAAATGCTTTTATGTTGACTTTAAAAATTTTGAAACACTTGAATTAAGACCCATTTTGAAATGCAAATGTAACATCTTTATTTCCAGCAGGTATTTTTCACCTGATGAAATATGAAAATATGAAATTGTTTTCATATTTTTTGTAATCAGCTTTCCAGGAGTTAACATTTGCCATACAGTTTTCTGTTTATTCCTAAAATTTCCAGACAGGCAGGGAAAATAACTGGGAACAGTTACTGCATAGATTTTAAAACACACCCCACTGCAGCAGATAGCTACAAATATGCTAAGCCTTTGCCAGTGCTATTCTAACCTGGTCTCAGCACAAAGTCTCTTTACCTGCCTTTGCTGCTCTGAATGCTTTTCCAGACAGGTAATGTGAAAGATGGTCCTGTTGATGATGCTCTTTTATTTATCAACGGATTTATGCTGCACAAATAAAATTAAAACAAAAGATAATGTGACTTCCAGAGAAATCTGGAGATCTAAAGTTAGGTTTCCCATTTTAGCAACATATTGAACTAACTTATAATAGCTTTTGTTTTAGCTAAGAGCATCACCCAATTTCCAGCCTGGTTACAGCTGCAGGAAAAGACTGGCAGCTAACATAGTAATGAGTCAGTATCTATTGAGATTCACTCATTACTATTAATTTCCCCGTTGCTTCCAACCGATTCAGGAACTACTTATGGAAATTCTTCTTCTTCTGTCTTACTGAAATCCAGCACTGTTGCTGTCAAAGCTGCCAACAGGCGCAGCAATGCTACTGTGATAAAATAAGTCCAATTCTATCCCAATCTTGCTTTCCTAGGAAGAACAGAACTCATTAAATAATTATCAACTGTGACAAGAAAGTAGCTGGCCAAACACTTGCTGCTAATCTAGGCATGACAGCAGGACTATACCTTTCAAAGCAGTAATTAGCTAGATGAACAACAACATAAGTACCAGACAATGACATGGAAAGGACTGTCCCTAAAGGACAGATTTATTATACGTAGGGTTTAGTGTTTGTGTGACTTATGAATGTTATTTTGCAGTATACAATTACACTTCTCTTCTGCTGCCTTACTCTTTTGTTTTCTGCACAGTTTATGGAAGTGGGCAGAGAGAAAATCAGGAGCTGAAGCCATACGAGAGCAGGTGATGGAAGCTCTGCAACACCTTCCTTAAGTTCATGAAATGGGGGGGCTGCATAGATCTCACAGTAGAACACCATCAGCCTGCACCCCATCCTGTGGGAATAAGAAATCCAGTACTTGCACCCTGCCCTCATTTTATGCTTGGTCTGATACTCACCTAGTGTTTATAGGTCAGGTCTAGTAATCATTATGACTTTCCTTTCTCGACAGGGCAGGTTCTCAGTTGGTGTAAATTGGTGTAAGTGGAAAAATATGGATTTATCCACAGCATACACTAAACCAGCAGTCAGCACCAGTGCTAGAGATAATGTTCTATCAGCTAATATAAATCACAAGCCCAGACTGCTACCATTGAACGTAAAGGGCAGGACTACAAGTGTACCTACAGCCGATGCTGGAATTACACGCAGCCAAACTTGTTTTCAATTGAACTGTTCAAGTGCTTAAAGTTAAGCATACACATAAGTGTTTGCAGGATTAAAGCCTCCGTTTGGAATGACAGAGTAAATCCAAATGGAGATGGATTAGCTAGCAGAGGGCAGGTGAGGTGGTCAAAGGCACACGCAGTTTATCATATGGCTCTGTAATTTACTACATGATTATCACAACTACATATTTGGTGTGGGGATATAGATATACATGCACACATGTATACACAGAGCCAAACTTTTTTGGCAAGGGGGCCACACAGTCATTTCAAATTGAGACTCTGGGCTGCACTTGTTCCAGGACTGCTTGTCTGTTGCCAACACACTGAAGCGCCTCAGGCTTCAGTCTGATTCTTTGTTTGCTTGCCCATTAAAGTTCTTATCCCACACTCCCTTTTGGCAGAAAATGTTGTTATTTCTGCTTTATGCTGGCCTAGGCCCTTCTCCTGCCTGTGTTCCTATTAACCTATAGTAGCGACAGCCAGGAGCAAACTGAAGCAGCTGGTTGGAGACGCTACTATCAGACTGCGAAACAGCTGTTGTGCAGAGGGGCCACCCCGAAAAACTTCTCTTACAGCACTGCTGGGCTGGATTTTGGCCATTGCAGACAGGGGATTGGGAAAAGAGGTACTTTCATTTGCAAATATTTAATTGCTGAAAAATGTAGGGGTGTGTGCGGCATCTTTATTGGATGTCACATAGAAGTAATGCTTTCCAGGTATTTTGCTGGCACTTGGTGTCATTGTCATCTCGCTGCCAGCATGCAGTGGCCCCATGTTGCAACTCAGTGTGAAACTGATTTCCAATTTTTCTGTTTAAATTAATATTTACCAGTTGGTTGTTTTTGGCAGACTTTTATTGATAGCATTGATTCAAGAAGAATAGCCAAATTCAGCTCTTGGTTACAGCAGTGTGACATCTGGAGTTAACTCCACTTCTACCAATGTTACCAAGAGACAAATTCCTTCTTCTGTCTTTTTGTAGCATGACATTTGCTCCATCCTTACCTATAGATACGAGCTGGGCTGCAGCTTTAAGTTTGGAAAAATTGATTATCGCTCTGAAATGCACTGATTGGGTACTTCTCCAAGACACTTAATAGTATGTGCATCTTAACCTTCAGGAACCATTCACTTCAGAATACCATTATTATGTGCAGAAATAACTCTTAGGAAAGCAGCATAAATTAGGCTTTCACTATCAGCTAAAAAAAAATAATTATTTGAATGCTTTTGCATCCATCGTCATTCAGGTGAATTAATTACTTCAGAGTTGTTTCAGCTATTCTCAACTAAAGATGGAGCAGAACACTGACCAAGGACAAGGACCTACACTGGGATTTGAATGAACTCAGAGCAAGTGAGATACTTGATGCAGCTGCCGAGTTTTCTGCATGTCCCACTGTGTGGTGGGGGCATGTTGCTTCCTGATCTCTGTAAGTGCACAACAGTCCACACTGCCTGGACTGAATCCACTCCATGTGATATTGATACAAGTAAATACCTCAGCTTTTTCTATGGAAAAGCTATAAAACTGCATGACAATGAGGGTGCAATTGGCATGTGAGCCTGAGCACTGTTGTGTTGAACTCACATTAAGAGCTGTACTTCGAACCACACTCCTGTTTGTCATCTTAAGGGTGGGAAATTGCTGAAAGAACAAAGTCAGCCACCAAGGCTGCCAAGCTAAGTTTGCTGTGACATTGATAAATATTCAAGCCAATGTCTTTCAAATGTTATTGTGAATCACCTTTCCCTCCTTCCTTCCCCTGCTTCAGTCATCTTGCTGGCTCAGAATGTTCACCTTTGTCTCAGACCTCAGCTGCCTTCACTTTATTGCATACGATTGCTATTGTCTTTGTCTCTTTTATCCGCTTCGCTGTGTCTCATTTTCCTAAAGTACCTGGCACCCACTTTTCCATAACACTGTTCCTTTGTTTCAGGAAAACATAATTTCAGGAGGCAGCAGAAATGCAGTTCCAAAGGCCACAGGGTGACATCCTCTCTCACCTGATCTTTATTCATATCAGGCTTTAATGGCATTCTTTTTTCCATTTCTCAAGCACCCTGCAACTCCCTTCCTCCCCGACAGGAAGGCACATTTTATTTCTCATAAAAATGCTTTCTTACCAATCTTCTGTTCAGAAGTTTCAGAGGCCCTTCTGTAAAATGGTGGTTTTCTCATGTAGATGGACCCGTTGACCTGATGGTGGTTTATTACTGTTTGGACATTTTTTCTCCTTCCTAAATTTGGGGGAACTTATACCTTTATGTCATTTCGAATCCTTGTTGTATTGGCTTCAGCAGCAATCTTCCCAAAGTCTGTTTTTCATTTTGAGGTAGGAACAATTGAAAAGTTTCAATATCTGAACTGGTTGGCTTTCTAAAAGTAGTAGATTTAATGCACAGCTAATCTTGTGTTCACGGTTCAGACATAATCTACCTGCCTCAGATATCACCAACAAAAATGTGTAGTTTCTCTCATTTCTACCAAGTCAGGAAAGGATGCTGTTATGCAGTCCTTTATGTACACTTTCTTAGCTCCCCCATGCACTAAAAAAGGGCCCTCAGTCCATTGAAATAATACAAAACCTCAGTTGCTGATGGAAGTGGTATGTGATTTTCTGTGTATATTTTACACCAGAAGGTACGGTGCCTATTGTACATCCCCATTTAAAACTCAAACACAATGGCTCATGCAGCTGGATGGTGACCTGCCAATGAAGTTTAAGACAGCATAGACTTCCACATGAATCTGCAGATTAATGAGACAGAGAACTATCTTCTTTTTTTTTACCCACAAAAGACTACTCGTGCATTCAGAATGTGCTGCAGACTAAAACCAAAGTTCAGCTCGCCGCAGGAGCAGAGAAGAAACACGCACAGGATACACCTCAGAAACAGCCCAGCCCTTATGGAAAATTCCTGTGGAATTTAACACAAAATGATAAGCTTTTTGCAGGGGTTTGGGGTTTTTTTTTGAACCATCCTATAGCTCAGATACGTCTGCTATTAAATTCTATACAAAGGCTCAGAAAAGTTCATATGAAAGATGTAATGCTCCATAGGTTTTATAGTAATTTCTGTTACATTTCTATAGGACCCCCTTGTTTCTATTCCAATTATGTTACCTAGAACTTTTCATAAAAGACCTATGTTATAACAGGCCCTTTCCCTCTCTCTCTGTTTTCCTTTAAGTATAGCAAAATGTGTACAGATGTCTATATTACAGTGTGTGCTTCTTACAACTCCATGATTTTAGGTGTGCTACTACCACATGTGGCAAAGGCATTATTTAACTTTTGGCTACTGAGCTAAGTAAACTTGTAAGTAAACTGTCAAAACCAGGCAAATACAAATAGCAAGTGCCTTCTCATCTTGATTAGGCTCATGAGACAACACTAGTGTGGAAGAGGGGGAAAACTGAGCTTTCAGTCTTTTATTAATGTAATTTTGAAGCAAATCACAAATGATAAGCAGATAGAAACTTTTATTTGTGAATGTCTTCTCAAGACATTATGTTGCAAGATGAAGTAAGTTGTGCAAGGGTTAATTTAGCTCCTCAGATAAATAAAAACGTCTTCAGGAAGTGTTTGGCACATCTTAGCCCCAAAATTCTGCTGTGATTTTTACACATCTGGCCTTCTGGAATACAGCAGCAGTTGTCTTAGGTGCTGATTGAAGCAGCTCCATCAAAATGGGCTGCTTAGCATTTGTCAGTGGACACAAAGATGGCAGGTACTTTAAGGCTGAATAATCAACATTTAACATTTTTTTTAAATGTTTCTTTTCTTTTTCATCTCCTATCAGTGAAAAATTTCACAATTTGGCCTTATCCACCTCTTACCTTCTTATGACTGCACCCAGTGAGCTCCATTAGACTCACTGTTCCTGTGTTCCCACCCCACTATCTCCTGAATAGACTCTGGATCCACCTAGAAAGGAGCACATCATGATGGGAATTTGGACACTGGAGATGGGGACAAGCTGCTTACACTTGGCAAGACCCAGTGTCAGTGCCAGTGGGATGGTGATGCTCTCAGGAGGGTGGCTGTGACAGCCTGATCACAAGTGACCCAGACTCAGAGCAAGTTAGGTTTAAAAAGGAACATCTAATTTAACTCAGCAGAGGCTCAGAGAGCAGAACTCTGCACAACCTTTCACCTGCCTCTTCCTCATCCTTGGCCTTGATACAGAAAGCTGAAAGAGTTTAGTGGTGTCCTTGGCAGTGCTGGGGAACAGTTGGACTTGATGATCTTAAAGGTCTTTTCCAACCTGGTTGATTCTGTGATACCTTTATAACCAGAAGGTGGTAATACACCATGGAAAGATAGTTCAGACTATTGCCTAAGCTAACAATGAAAGGCCAAATGAATTTAAAATGGAGTGGAGAAATGACAGTGATATCAGTTGAATTTTTCATTGTAAAGGTCACCTAGTTAACTATAACTATAACAATAATGCGTTCACTAGTCCCTGTTTGTCACAGTCATGGCTTCAAATACAAAACTGCCTTCACAGATGCCACTCAGAGAGAAGGGGGCTGCAAGAAATTCCATATGACCTTATGATGAGCAATACAAATTACAGTGGCCAAAGATGCTGTCTAAGAAATGGCTTTCATTACTCAGTTTTTACATGCACAGAGGGCAGTGATCAAAGTAAGTAATTTGACATCTATAAAGGCAAATGCTGGGTATAATAAGAAATGTATAGAAGACTAGAAGTTGAAGTAATTGAACCAGTGAAGGTCCCATGGTCTATTATTTTTTTCCCTTCTATGAATTTCATAGAGTAACCATGTTTTAATCTTAAAGAGGCAGATGGAAGCATAAAGCAAAGTGACAGGCTTTAGATTATCAATTTGATAACAGTATTTTTAGTTACTGATTCTTGACACAAGGATTACCCGTGCCAGCTTTTGTGGCTTGAAGAGGTCCCAGACAGATTTGTTGAAGTCAAAATGGCTTTAAGAATGACTCACAGGAAAAACACAAATTACAGCCATCCTCCCTGAGATGAGTAGCTTGATTTGTTCAGCAACTATTTTGTGTCAGTTTTGACTCATCAAGAGCTTCTTTAGCTCACGAGGATGCCTTTGATGCCGTAAAAAGATCTCTGAATACATGAATCACAATTCAATACCATGCGAAGCATCATCAGATGTCATATAAAAGGATAAGTTCAAACACCCAAAGTGTTTATGTGGAGAATGTATCCACTTAGTTTTACTATCAGATGTTTATTTCATTCCTGAGACTACACTACCTTGTCTTGCCACTTTCATGATTGTTTCAATTTATCTAGTTTCTGCATATCTTTGAGTTTTTACTTCTCATTTTCCACAGAACTCCCTTGAGAAGCAGCTTTGCACTGATTTTCTTTCTTTCTTTCCTTTCTTTAAGAAAGTTCTGTTTCTCTGGATTTTCTCTGAAGATGTTTGGAACTGACGAGCTATGATTTCAACACTGCTTCCCAGACTGACTTGAGCAGTAGAGTCTCAGTCACATCACAAGTGTTTGCTGAAGCTGGTACGATGGGTCCAGCTGAACAGTTTTCAACTCTTAATCCTGTAATCCTAATGCATGTTCTGCTTTCTGCCCTTCTTTTGATCATTTAAAATCCTTCTTGAAGTATAGACAAGCCCTACTCCTCTTCAAGCAGTGCAGGAAAAGTACCATACTAATGTTTGGGGATACTGATTTCTGTTTCTGATTTCCTGTTGTTTGAAGAGGTCCTGACCTTCTGTTAACACAGTCATTTTCTGGGACAGAGTTCATGGGTGATATATTTGTCCACGCACTCCGATGTATTTTTACTTCCATTTCATATTTGCACCAAATCCTTGGGTGAATCTAAACCCAGCTATATTACCCAAATCTGCTGCTGAATAACCTCATTTCCTCTCTTACATATTGTAATTTTCCAAATTGTTGTCTTAAAGAGCATTTTGTTTTCCATCCAGTCAATCATGTGTGCTGCACTGGTCCCTCTACATGCCTGGGCCCTACAGTCCGTTTACCCTGTGCAGTCCAGGTGCTCCACCACATGTATGGAGTCTGACAACTCCCAGTCCCACGTAGCCTTTCTTTTTCACCACATTCACTGACTTCTTAGTGACATAAACCTGCAGTCACATTTGAAGCTAAATGTTCCCCTGTTTTTTTATCACTACTATTATTGTTATGGCCAGTCTCTTAATTCTGAAAGCTAATAAGCACTAATAACAGGCAAGGAAGAAACAAGTATTTCATAGAATCATAGAATGGCCTGGGTTGGAAGGGACCTTAAGACCATCCAGTTCCACCCCCCTGCCACGTGCAGGGACACCTCAAACTAGACCAGGTTGCTCCAAGCCCCATCCAGCCTGGCCTTGAACACTGCCAGGGATGGAGCATTTACCATTTTCTTGGCCAACCTGTTTCAGTGCTCGTATCTATGAGACTTTCACAGTGTAAATTTCCACAGTGCTAAATATATGAAATCCCTGATCCATTCACTGGCTCTGTTCTGGACTGCTCCAAGTACGTCCCCAAAACAGTACCTGGGCAGTCTGGCAGATGTTTTCCTCCAGAAAGCATTCCCTAAGCCATTATGGACAGGAGTGCACATGCTCCCCACCCCTCAGGCCAGATCTGTGCCCCACATCCTCTCCTAGCAGGAGGGTAGACTCAGCCAGCAGCTAACAGCATAGCTGCCAAACCCATTCCAGATCCCAAGTACATGGTTAAGGTGCAACTTCTGTTTAGGTAACTACTTTGCCAAGTGTGAGTGTAACATAGTAGCACGTGGCCTGACACCCATCTTCCTATTAACCTAAAAGAGGCACAAGTCTACTTTCATTTAAAGCAAAACTCCCAGGGTATTTTTTTTCATTCCCCACTAAGCAGTAAGGATCCCAAAAAAGCAAAACCAGCACCAAAAAGAAATCTTGCAAGGAGTAAGAAATCCTCAAGTTATTGATTATAAAAAGAATAGGCTGCATGTGGCTTCATTTTCAGATGCAGACTGTACCCACAGCTCTTGCTGGTACCAAATGCAAAGCTGGGAAAGCACTGTGTTTCTTTATAGGAAAGCACTGTATTTCTGTATAAACACACATATGGAGGGCTTCCAGCTGCTGCTGGCATGATGCCTCTCATCATGAGGTCGCTTACAAAGATTTAGTACTTTGCTGGACCAGAATTCATCTTTGAAGAAGTGAAAGTGCCTGTCACCTGATGCTGGATGGTGACTCTTCTCTCAGTAAAAGCCTGTGTATTCTCAGCTTCCATCCATGTAGAAAAGCAGGCACAGAAGGAAAAGAAGAAGAGGTGGTTGACATAGAAACCCCCAACTATGTGCACGTGAATTAGCCTGCTGAAAGATGGGCCCTTCAGTCAATATGGAACACCAGAAAAGGGAATAAGAAGAAGCTGGCACTCCCTTCTACCTGGAGCATATTTAAGGAAGGCTTTTTGGTTTCCAGAATCCATTTATTCAATGCTTTTTAGAGCACTGGGTGCAGCTAAATCATTCATGAAGTTAAAGTGGGCTGGGATGTTAAGGTAAAAAAGTAAGAGCAATACTAATAATAATTAAGGAGATGCTAAAGATAGAGAAGAATGAACTCTTTCTTTCCCCTTCTCTCTCCTTCCAGCTATGACTTCTTTTTGTAGGGGCAGAGATTAGAAGGAGGAACAGTGGTTTGCAGCAAAAGGAAGAAAAAGGGGATTTATGACACATAGAATATCGAAGCCTAAGACATCTGCATATCCAGCAAGGCAAAACCAAAACAGGACAACAAATAAAAGAGTATTTGAAGTACATCATATGCAGAAGAAATCCCAGCAATGGAATTAGCCAGTTACCAGATGAAGGCAGTAAAAAGCCATATTCAATAAACATGTCTCTCCTAGACCTGGAAAAAGTAAGATGACAGCAGTATCATATCAGGCAGCCAAAGCCTTTTCAGTCCATTAGTAACCAAATAGGATGTTAAACATCTACTTGTGATAAAAACCTGTAATTCATCAGGCCCAGATAACTTGCACCTGAGGAGTCTCAAATAGTTGCTGGAGGAGATTCTTCCTTCCACACGTTAATTTTTAATGGGTCTTGAAATAATATAGAAATTCCAGAAGACTGGAAGAAGACTGATGTTTTGCCAGTATTCAGCAAGGACAAACATGATGACCTTGGTAAATAAAAGCCAGCTAACCTAATATCAAACTGGAGGGGAGATGAGGGGGGAGCTAAATAATAGAATATGGGATTCAACTGATAAAGAATGAAAGGACAGGAAGCAATTAATGCCAGTCAGCATGGGTTTATGGAAAACAGGTCTTGTCAGACAAACCTGATTAGATTACAAATTTGGCTGAAAAGGTAACTGAGACATTTGTAAGGCATTTGATGGAATTTTGCAAAACATTCTAGGTGAAAAGAATACTGTGCAGTCTTGTTGACATACCCACTAGCAGAACAGTGGTCTTATTAAGTGGCAAAACTCAAAAATGAGTTATCACTGGGAAGTCATCACTGAATAAAAAAGCAATATGTATATAGATGTGGTGTTACATCTCTATACGGCATTGTGACGTTACTGAAACGCCGCACAGTTTCAGTGACCATCTGTTATAATGAAGCTGAAAAAAAAGCAGTTGTTTGGAAAATAGCCGCAAAAATCATTTTTAGAACTGAAGAAAATGCCTTATCATGAGAACTTTAGAGAATATGGAGAGTTTGCTTGATTACAGTGTGTAAATACCTCCATCAGCAGAAAAGCAGCTCACTACTTTGCTTTTCCAGCACCCCCAGTGAGCTGGGACAAAAAAGGTATACAGTTGTAGGGCCCAGGTCACCCTGAAGGGTTTCTCCACATCAGTAGCAGAAAAGATTAAGCATGGCCTGGTGACAATGGGGTGTCCCTCATGTCAGGGGGGGTGCCTGACCTACCACACACGGCAGCACTCATGTAAGCCGTCCACATCTGTGAAGGCTCCAAGACTTTTCTTTTGCGTGTAACCTGTCTCCAAGTAAAAGGGCAGATAAAATGACCCTGGATAAGTCAGGAAATGTCCTGGCCAATTATCTCAGGGAGTCTCAAGGAGTTATCAGAGGATCAAAGACCCTTCTCTAGTCTTCAACGCAGAAAAGTTGTAGCTAGACAACAAAAGCAGAGGCAGGGCAAGAATGTGACAACTTAATGAAGCTATAGTAGCACCGGGTAAGATCCTCAGCTTGAGCAAGCAGGTGCTGTTCCTTCAAAGTCAGTTGGAGAGATGCTGAGTTACACCAGTGGAGAATCTGACATCTTATATTTTTTAGTTTGCTGGAGTCCTGCCGTGGCTCCATAAGCAAAGGTTAATGCAGGTCTGCCAGGGGCAGGCTGGAGTTACCACAGAATGGCAGTTGTGAGGTTGCTGATTCTGATAAAAGCAAATTGTGAACTGCAAGCATCTGAGTGTTGAGTGTCACATTCACACCTAACAGCTGCCCTTGCCTGTTCCCCACAGTCATCCAGTTTTGTCATCGTGATATGTTTCTGAAACCGCATTTGTGCTGCTGTCAGTTTTTGTCTCAGGAAATTTGTGTACAGCCTTTCTGTAATGACACACTAAAACTGCTTGTAAACATCAAATGAGTAGATTAAAATATATTTAAACCAAGCAAATCACTTCCATATATTAGGCAGAAATTTGAGTCTTTTCTACTTCTAAGTCTGCACTGTCCCCCTTTAAAGACTTGCAGTAGGGATGTTAATATTTACATGGGTGAGGGCAGTGAAAAGTTTGTTCCTTTCCTGAAAAAAGTGAGAAGCCTCCTTCTAGATCTGTGAGTCTTTCCCTATCACAAATGTCTCCAAAGAGAAAAGCCAGACAGAAGCCCTGATTCTCTGTTTCCACCAGTCCTCTCAGGTCAGGAACATCCTGACTATCAACAGAGACAGGGCATCTCTGGAGCATTTTTGTCTGTGTATCAGGATTGGGCAATGTCAATACTATCAACATGTCAACAATCCACGGCAGAGATGTGCAAGATTACACAAGGACAGGTTTTGAATGTCAAGTCCAGGTCCCTCTAAGGCTGGGAGCACGCCCGCCTGAGAGACACACTGGTGACACCCTCTGCTTGCAGCCCCTACTGAATTCTGAACTCATTGTCGTCCGTGAACTCCCACCTCACAGCTTATTTCCTAAAAGTGATGAACTGCACTCTTCCTCTTTGAAAGGCAGCATTTCCCAGCTCTTGCTGGGATTTTTTTACCATCACACTTAATCCCTGGTTCACAAAGAATAATGTAGATTTACACTCATCTGCTGAAAAGATGCAAATCTCTGAACCCATAGATTGCCAAGATGCAAGAAACAGATGCCTAGCTACAGCAGGAGAGCATAGGGAGAGCTGTGAAATCTGCCCACAAAGCCTCTTAAAGCACCTTACACTTTTTTGTTACCTGGACTGCAGCATGGGATATGCTTCCGTCTGTCCCAGCTATGTTGCTGTCGGTACCTGCACTGGCCAGCTGAAAGCAGCTCATGGTACCAATAGTTCTGGGGGGGAAAAAAAGACAAGGTTAGGAAACCTCATCTCTCTGGAAATCATTGCATTAAATATAGAAAAGTTAAATATACATTCAATATACATTTTCCTTTGTCCTTTCTCTTCCCATAGGCTGCTGGCCTATGATTGCTCCTTGTACCTACCCTGGAGCTGATTTTATTGTTTATTCCTAGCTCAGCCTCCAGTTTGCTCAGGGCCCTGTGTCTTAGCGAGTGACTCCCCGCTCCCTTTCCAAGTTCAGAACCTTTCTGGCTAAAGTCTCTGGTGACACGTAACACAAAAAGACAGCTCTGAGCACAGGGCATGCAGCCGTTCTGCAGAGTACAGTCTGTGGTGCGGCGGTCCCGCTTCTGGAAGGTTAAGTGATTAAGCCTAACAGTGACTAACAGGGGTGGATCTTTTCCTGTCAAACACACACAATTTTCCAGAGAGCAGCTCCAAGGTTGTGAGTGAAGGTGAACAGCTCTACTTCTAAAGACTCCTTAATTTTAAGGAATTCAAAGAGCAGGCATGACACTTTGTTCTGCGACTTCCTTAAACCTATACCCTACTTCACATCCTTTCATCAGCTTTCATATCTAAACCAGACGTAATGGAAGTTAAAAAAAGACCGAGAAGATGAGAAGTACAAGTCTCTGCAGATGTGAGGGTATAATTTAGCAAAGTATCATTTTATCACCCAATCTTGCCAGGTCCTCAACACATCCTGTGGGGTATGGACTCCCCTGCCTATCCTGTGAACAATGGGGAGTGAGAGCACTCCAGTCTTTTTCTGGTTGCTTTCAAGCAAGTTTCAGCTCCCTGGTGTTGGCTATTTTTTCAGCAGTTGTATGACTATTGATATATTCAAGGCTAAAGCCTTGAGAATCTTCAGGAATTTATTAACAAGTCTGTGTTTTGCAATAAACAGTATTTATATAGGCATTCAAACTGATCCGTAAAAACCCATGTTCAGATTCGCTGCTGATGTGTAAAACCACAGATGAAATAGGGAGATCCAAAAAGTGTATGTTTTATTTACAGGTTTTGTATAAATCCAGAAAAAGGGGGGCAGGATAAATATACCAACAAAGTAGTTACAAAACTGTTTTCATTAATAACTTATCAAAGCAGTTTTATTTCTTGAAATCATCCAAAGTAAGCTAAAAGCTATGAAGGCAGCTGGTTGAATATCTCCTGGAGGGTTTGAATGGGGCTGCAGGCCGGTGCTGAATTTTACTCTGGTGAATAAATTCCTGATTATCTCTTAGAAAGCAACTTTTTCCAGGGTGGAATAAAGCCTATTTAGTAAATTATTATTTTGTTTTTAAAACTAAATGACTGTTTATTAAAAAAGAGAGCTACTGAAATGCAGATTTTTCCTCATTACCTGAGGCATAATCAAATTGTCAGCTGTTCAACAGGGGTGATAATGTGGAACAGGAGTGTGATAACATTTGCCATCATCCCAGCTGGTTCCCCCCAAAAGACACCTCCTCCCAAGCTTCTTACCAGTGAACCTACATGATCTTGTAGAAGCCTATGGCCCAGCACAAGGTATGGTTCAGAAGTGATCTGATAATTCATATGAATTGTTAAGACTTCTTTTATTTGGACACAACATTATTTGAAACAGAAATGAAATCCTGACTCCATTACAGAAAGTAAGAATTTGTCATTGCCTTCAGTGTGACCAGGATTTCACTACTGAAGTGCATAATGCTGTGTTGCCTGATTTCAGATGCAAATGCCGAACCATTTCATGTCACCACTATCTATAATTGCTAAAAAAGCTGAGAACTTTTCAAAACTATGGCGGTGCTGGGATAAAGGTTGAACTTCATGATCTTAAAGGTCTTTTCCAACCTGGTTGATTCTATGATTCTATAATGTTATAACAAGATCCAGTAGCTGAAAAGACAACAGGGCATATTAAGGCTAGAAATAAAACACGTGTGTTCAGTAGGTTTGGGTTTCTTTTTGTAAAACCACTTATTAAGGACATTTTAAAATCAAGACTGGCTGTTCTTAGTCGTAGAAATGCCTACAATTAAGAGTCCAAACCTTTAAGCCAGACATCCACGATCTATACTGAACTGTAAGATGTAGAGTCCTTGCACTCAAGATACGGTACTTGGTTAATCAATTAGATGCTGCTTTCATTATTCTAACTGGATACATCAATTCCATCCCTGCTGTCCATAGATCTACAGTGGGTCATGATTAACATTTAGCTCAGTGGTAGAGGGTGATGTTTTTTATGTTTTTCAGTGAATGCTCTCACTTTCCTTGTTAAAAAAGTGATGGTTTAACTAATTCAAATAATTCTGGTCCAGAAAGAGATGTTATTTTTGCAGTGGCTGCAAGTTTCATCATGTTCTGTGTACGAGAACATCAAAGATTTTAAAGATATGGATATAAAATGCATTAGTTATATGGGATAATAAACTGTTAGGGCCTTGAGGCAGGAATAGGCCTTAATTTTCCCTGGCCAGCCTCCTTGGGGATCCCCACCTGCAGCAGCATCTGCAATGAGGCAGCATGAGATGTGCTATGCTTTTGCAAACTGAATTTTGCACACTTTCTCTCCTGTTATTTTAGTGTTTATTCTTCTACTTAGTTGGAATTATGCAGCGAGACAGACTGGGTTGGAGTATTACTATAGAATAGCTACAGACTACTACTGCTGTTTTAATTGAGGACTAGATTCTCAGCTCAGCAACACAAGAGCAGCTTTAGCAAAATGAATAGCTCTGTCACAAGCTGCACCATTGATAAGATCAGAATCAAGTCCTTTCATCTTGATCCTACTGGATCCACTTTTATTTCACTTTCATTTAGTGACATTCTCAAAGCACTTTTGCAAGGTAATTTCTTTTTAAGTTTGCTTCTTCAACATACTTCTTTCTACTTTATGATTTCCTTCCTCATGGAAATTCTGAGCCTCAAATTTCAGTGTATTTAGTCAAAAAGGAGCTTGCCAATGATTTTCTGCCCAAAGAATGTAACACAAAACTACATACACAGATACTAATAGCAGAGATCACAATCTGTGGATGCTTACATCAGTCTACACTGCTTGTGCACTACAAGTGACATCAAAACTATTTTCATTCACTTTCATGTCATTTCATTCACGTGCACTTGTATTTCTGACAGGAATACTCTCTTAGGGCTGTATCAGGGTGTTCTAAAACTGATAATTACATGCAAAATAGGCACAAAGCTGTAGCACTTAATACAGACAGCTTTACGGGTTTCCCTTGGGTTGCATTGGGATTTGAGTAATAGATTCATTCAGTTCTAGCATAGGAATTCATACTTTGTAGAAATTCAGTATTTTCTTATTGTTGGAGGGTTTTATTTACAGCATGGCTGTTGCTGGCACATTCAGACCTTGTTGTTTTGTCCCTTTGCTGGTTGACTGATTTATTATAATGAGAAGCCCATTGTATGACAATTTTCCCTTAATTCCACAGGATATTTTTGGCTCAGACTACAGGATATTATCCTACCATACTAGGAGGGAATGGTCAGCCTTCCAGCCCTGAGCAGTAACCAAGCTCTGGCATCCGCAAGGCCTGGACAAGGCCCTGGCCTAATGCTCAGGGTAGCCCAACTGCAGCAGGGTGGGCTGGCCTCCTCCATAGGCCATTTGCCCACCCCGCCATCTCCAGTGGCCTTGCTTCCTCACGTCACCCCAGGAATGGGTCACAGAATCAATAGGGTTGGAAGGAGATCTAGTCCAAGCCCTCTGCCAAGCCAGGGCCACCTAGAGCAGGTTACACAGGAACCCAGGTCCACAACCCCTCGGCAGCCTGTCCCAGCGCTCTGCCACCCACGAAGTAAGTTCGTTCTTCCTCATACTGAGGTGCAGCTTCTCCCTCTGCCCTTACAGCCCTGCAGCAGGTGGTACAAATCAGGAAGGGCGGTGGGGAAACCTGACAATCACAGGACTTACATAAATCAAGCCCTTGTTACCTAGCGAGTCACAACACCTGAAGTCAGCTGCCACCTGAACAGCAGAACCGCTCGTATACAGGCAAGAAGCTGTGAGATCGGCGGGGTGAGTCCGTTCCCTGAGGTATTCCTTGCTGGGTCTCGGGGAGGTCTCTCCCGCCTGTGAGCGCGGTGTGTGCGGTCAGCCTCCTACCTAACACCGGCCTGAGGGAGCCGTACCCCTGGCGGCTCTCCCACAGCGGCAAGGCGGCTTCCCGCCTGCGCAGCCTCCGGCTCATCCCCCGCTGCCCGGAGGAGGCGCTCCCCGCGCCGGCAGGGGCAGGCGGGAGCGGCGGGCCACGGCTGTGGCCTCCCCGGCTCCCGCTACCGACGAAGAGGGGGAGCCTTCCCCGCGGCGGGATGCGGTCGGAGGCAGTGGCGGAGCTGTGCGGCCTGGAGAAGTTCGCCAGCTCCGGCAAGGGCCGGGGACTGCGGGCGCTCCGGCGTTTCGCCGTGGGGGAGCTGCTCTTCAGTTGCCCGGCCTACACCGCCGTGCTGACCGCCAGCGAGCGCGGCAGCCACTGCGACGGCTGCTTCGCCAGGTAGGGAGGCCTGGGGCGGGCCCAAGGCACGGCCGTGAAGGCTCCTCGGCGGGGCTGACCCCGGGGAGGCTGCTCGCGGTTCGACTGGCAGCGGGCGGCCCACTCGCGTCCCCCGGCCCGGGCAGCGGGCACCGGGCTGCCGCCGAGGTCCCGTTAGCAGCAGCAGGGCCCGCTGAGGGGTTGCCGGGGGCCCGAGGCCTGCCTTTGCACACCTGCCCTGCTCCTCCTCTTCCTCCCCTGCTCGGGGTTCTCTGACGGCAGCGCCGTGCTGAAACTTAGCTCAGAACTGGTTTTCCTTGCTCAACAGTTCGGGAAAGAGGAGATAAAACGAAAGAGCTTTGCTGTGCACGTACGCTGGCACGAGGCACCTTGCAGCTGTGGGAACTTCCACTGATCCTCGTGGTTTTGCAGTAACATAATATTCGTTGACTTTAATGATGTTTTGATAATTGAGA